GTGTGTGTGTGTGTGTGTGTGTGTGTGTGTGTGTGTGTGTGTGTCATCCGGACCCTTCACAGCTTGCGTTTTGCATTTGTTTGTTTTTCCAAACCCAGTAGAGGGTCTTACCGCAGCCCCAGTGGTTAACAGACAGAAATATGGGCAGGACGCCTGTAACGTGATTAAATGTGATAGGGGGCAAAAACTTTGACTCGCTCAGCAGTAAAATACACACACAAATTAGAGCAAGGGAATGGCACAGAGTGGGGAGAAAAGGGGGGAAATAATGAGCTTCTAGAAAAGGGAGATGAGGTCAAGCACGCGAGTCGAGCAGCTTGTGTGGAGGTGGGTCAGGGAGAGGAGAGGTCAAAGGCTGTAGAGAGATACAGGTCACTTCTTCTGACCTCAAATACGTGAATCTCTGAGAAGAATCAGAATTAACAGGCAACGTGAGAAAGAGGTCACGATTCGACTTAGTTTCAGATGAATGAAAGGCTGAAAAATGGCATTTAGCAGAGCGGAACAACAAAATGCTGAACTTCAGTTTTTCAACATGCCTCTTCTGCAGAGTTAAGTCATCTTAAAGGTGGATCTTCCTTCTGAAAAAAAATCTTATTCTTTATTTGCAAAAAAAAAAAACAGCAGACATAAACTGAACTGATAAACCAGTTACTGGAGTGAAATTTGTCAACACATGATGTGTACTTCTCAACAAAAGCACGCTATTCTCCATCAAGCTGCTTTTTTTTTGTTTTTATTTAAGGTTTGATTTTCTGGAGATGCAGCAGGAGTACCAAATGAAAAGTTGTGATAACAAAATGTAATAACAGTGATTGAGTCCTTCTGCGCTGTATACTAATGAAGAACATTTGGGTGGTAATCAGAAGTAGAATTTGGGAGTGAAACAGGAAGACAATAAACAAGGGAATGTGGTTTTCACAATAAAACAGGAACTAGAGCAATCACCTGACTAAACATAAAGACATAGAAAAACATCCAAACTCAACACAAGCTGAAGCACCAAAACAAGTTAAGAGAGTAGAGTGCACGAACTATGAACCCTCGCTCTGCCTTACTTTGACCATTGTGGACACTGGGAAGTCAAAATAAACAGTGCAGGCCTGTAATAATGCCCCCTTAGAGTAGATCTGCTGGTATAAACAGAGGCTCAAACTTTAACCAGAACAGCATGTGGGACCTACAAATAGACCCATTCCTTGTTGGGGTTTTTTTATTTGTAGTGTTTTTAAGCCACTTCAGTAGAAAACAGAACTGAATATTAGTTTCTTCATCATCAGTGACTGTTTTTTATAAAAGAGAAGAAGAAAAAGAAAGAAGAAAAAGGAGAAATGTAGTAGGGGATATTGAAAGAGAGATTAGATATGTGAAATATGAACCAAAACACAAGAAAACACGCCCGCCCCCCAGATTGGACCATAGGAGAGAACCAGGAGAGCCCCCCCCCCAGCGACCCCACGCGGTAATCCCCCGGGGCCGACAGCAGCGAGCTCACAGGCCCTGCCGGAGCAGATCCAGGCAGGGACACATTCCTTGTTGTTTTAACCTTCAGTTTTGTTTTATCCCCAGACCTAGTACCCCCATGTTTCTCACTACTCCCAACRGGTCTTCCACATCTTTTTCCTTCCTCCTCACTCCTCGCTCCCGACTCAAAACCAAATATTCTCACAGGAAAAGAAGCTGTCAGAGCTTTTAGGTTTCTTAAGGAAATTGTCCTGTTTCCTTCTCATGTTCCCTCCAAACAACCTGACATCCTCATTTGTTCCCTTCTGGGCTTTTCATTTTACCCGCTGTCCAACTACCTACTTCCAYCCCCTCTGCCAAGGGATTTACATCACTCTACTTGTGTTTTTAATTTAGCACATGTTAAAGAAAAAAAAGACTTGCTCGCACATTTTAAAGCATCATTTGCGGTTGCATCTAAGGCCAGTTAACTCATCTGAAAACGTTTTTCCCCCATTCATGAAAGGTAATGTTAATGGAAAAGCTAAATGCAAACAGTGATATTTTACCTGTTGTGTGCAGCTATTGGAACTCTAATTATTAGCAACATAAATAGCAGCAGCAGCAGCCAGCTGTAGCACTTCCAGTGAAGTCTGAAGTACTTTGAGCAAGAGTATTAAAACATTTCTGCCAGAACAGCAGTGTAATCAAAAACTAACTGAAGTCTAAAGGTTTATGAAATAGGCTTCAAATACCTTTTTTTAGATATGAGTTTTAACATGGCAGCCATCCTTTCTGTTTTCCCTACTTTGTCTAGTCATTCATTAATTAATTAGTGCTCATTAATCCATCAGGGTTAAATGTGTTTCTTTAAACTGAACTGTTCAAAGAGCTAACAGATAAGATTTTGATAACTTACCACAGAATCCCACAAGACCTAAAYTATTCATCTAAGAGTAAATTATGAACCACTGTGAGGACAAGAGTCTGTGGCTGTCTCTCAATTCAGGGGTTGCARCCAATGTTGGGCGTTTCTGTTGGCTGCTTATGTCAACGTGCCACCCTGCACACTGAAAAAAAAGGATTTTTGGGTGTAGTAACATATATTTAATTGTTCTTTTAAATTTTACAAAAAAATAAAATAAAAAAATCTCTAAACTACTAGAATTTACTAAATAAACAATACACATTATATTATATATCAATGGTACTGTACAAAAAAAAGTAAATGCTAATATTATTTTATCAGTAATATTTAAGTGCTTTTTCAGGACAGCACATAAACATGAATATATTAAGTAACTTCTACTCTTCTGGGCTTAAACTGAGGGCGCATGCGCACACAAAGGCTGCTGCTCCTCATTYCCTTGCTTCACTTTTCAAGGAGAGAACAAGACATGGTGGAAATAAAACACAAGTTGTCTGGTTTCTTTTGCTTGAATACATTTGTTGGTGTGCAATAGTTTGATGGCATAGTGTATGTGATATTTAGTTGTCAGGGAACAGGGAATGCATATTGTAGCATTCTGCTGTGTTTGGCTGTTTGTCATGTGACTGCAGTGGAGGATTGTGGGTAGGATTCATGTTTGTTGTTGTTGTTAAATCATTTTAGGGAATTGGTTGACATTGTTCTTTCAGCAATTAGTCTGTTGTGTTACTCTAATTTGTCTGTTCATTACAACTTGTATTAAACCGTTCAGCAGAAGTAACCATAAGTGAGAGTGGTAGTCATTAAAGGGATCCCTGATTAGTTGTAACATTAGACTTTATATGATAAATATATACTTTAACTGCAAAATAAAGACTGCGTTTTTTATTAATACTAAATTTCGTGAAGTTATATCGTGAAAAGACAACTGAAGGCATGTGATATAAAATGGATTACCATGACACCTGTAGACTAGACTTTCTCCTTTCGCAGCCATTTATGCAGACTACGGCCCACATAGGGTTTGGTCTATGTGGGCCATGGTCTACGTTGGTTGTAATTCCTGAAGTGAGACAGAATTTATATCTTAGTCCGCTGCCTTTAGGTATACAGTAGCTCAGTGTTGATGATTTTGTTGTTTATGCCATCTAGAGCTCCAAAATCTAAACTAATTAATTTTCATCTCACTGAGTTTTTCTCGCTCTTCTCTGCAGCCACAGAGAGCTCAGCCCCCTGCAGTTCTGGAGATCTGACCAAATGGGACAAACTTTTCTCCATGCTGGAGAACAGTCAGATGAGGGAGAACATGCTGCTGCAGTACACCAGTGACATTGTCAAGGTGGAGATGGGATCACTGCGCGACGAAATGCTCAAGTTGGTTGAAACAACTTATCAAGTCATGCAATGATTTTCATACATTAACTACAAAAAAAGAGATAATATATCTGTGTAGCAGAACCTTTATTACTGCATTGTCTTAAAAGCAGTTAATTGTAAGTACTAACTTTTAAAGTACTTTTAAAGCCTCCTAAAGGAATTTAGTTTAGTTTAAGTGGAAGTAAGAGTGGCTTTAGGCAGAATTCTGCTGCTAAATGAAACTATTAAAGCAGAAGAATTAAGGTTTTCCTCAGCAAAGATATTAATCTTTCTATGCTGGTCTTTTGTCAGGTTTGTAGCCCAGTACAGTGGGTCCTGTGGGGCTGCAGTGGAGACGGCAGGAAGACAGATGAACTTGCAGATGGAGGCTCGTCTCAGAGAAACTCTGGAGCAGCAGAAACATGGCGACCTGACCTCTGCTGCTAGTGGTAAATCTGCCGGGGATCCCGACCAACTGGAGGCCACGCTGCAGCAGCTCCTGACCGCGGCACGTACACAAGCTTCTCGACTCGCTAAGATGGAGAGCAGCTGCCTCGGCAGCTCCGGAGCTGGGGTGGGCGTGAACACCAAGAGTGGATTTCACCTCCGAGGGGATGGTCCCACTGGCCACAGTGAACAAGAGGTGACGTCAGCGGAGGCGGCTTTAGACGACGTGCTGGCAGCCCTGCAGGTGGTGAAGGGAGAACTGGAAGAACTGAAGTCGTCAAGGCAAACATCCCTACCTGCAGGTAAAACATCCGTCTTACTATCGTCTGTTTTCCTGTTTCCTTTCCTTTACTTTGTATTTATTCTTCGTCCAGTCTTCCCCTCTATTTTTAGTTTTTCTACAAGTGACAAATTCAGGTCAGGTTTAGAGAAAGATCTCACACAGGGTATTTTGCATCTTGCTGCTCATACAGCTTGAAATGTCTGAACCAATTCATATTCTCCCCGTCTCCTTAGGAAGAAACAAATTCTTTTTCTCTAACCAGCATCGTTAGTATTATTTAAAACAGTCAAGTCAAGGAGGATAAGCTGGTTGACAAGCATGTGGTCAACTGGAAATGCCCATTCTGACAAGTCACTCTTTAAGATGTAAATAAGGGCAATTATGTAGGTCATGAACTGACTGAACACACATTTTAAAGTTCAGCAATGTTGGTCAGACGTGCATACAGCAGAGGGGGTGCTCTCAGTCAGTCTCCACAAAATCTACAACAATACGCCTCAAGAAAGTAAAACCAGATGGAATACACTATGGTGCACACACRCACRCACACACACACACTCAAAGGCATATTGAGAGGTTTGAGTGGCATAAATTTGAGCCACATGGGAAGTCAGTATTTGGGATATCCAGGTTTAGTAGGCTGCTGTGACATAAAGAGTCAGGGAAAATAGGCAATGGGAAAAGGAAAAGTTGGGTATAGAAAAATGAGAAATGATTAGACTACATAAAAAAGCATAAATAGGGAAGCAAAACAAGGACCGGGAATCAGAACAGATAAGGACAAAATGAGAATGATTGTAACATGGTAAATTTGCTGTTGCTCAAATACAAATACTTCAGTCAGTATTTTATTATTAGGAAAGTCTAGCATAAAATCATTCGCTTCACAAAATAAAATTTGAGAAAAATGTTAAAACAGATAAAAACACAGGCAACTTCTTTGTGTTTTATGTKTCCAAACCTCAAGATAAATGAGCAAAACAGATTAAGCACCTAACTTTCCTTGAACAAATTCATACAGTTTATCAGTAATACAAGAGGTTTTAAATTCAATTCAATTCAATTTTTTTTATTTTCATTAAAAATAACTATATACTATAAAAAACAAAAATCTAAATAAAATGAAAGGTAGCAGAGGAAGAATAAATCTTATTATGTCTGCCCCTTTTATCCCCAGAATATATTCAAATGAAACATAATTTACAAAACAATACTAAATAAAAAAATATTATAATAATAATAATAAATAAAGCATAAAAAACAACATAAAAATATAAACTCAAACAACAATTCATAAAGCTTCACATTTACTTTTCATTTCACACTTTTCAAATTAGTATTGTTTTCTGTTGTTTCGGTCAAATTTAGGATGAAATCAGCTAGCTCTCAGTGTTTGAGTTGCAGAGGACTCCCAGATCCTACCACACAAAACCTTCCCTCAATATTTGTACAACTGATGGAGTTATACTGCARTTATTAACAGAAAGTTTTAACAACATCGTGAGATATTTTGCTAACAGACAAATTTGACGCATCCTCTCGGTCAACACAGCCACAGAGAGACAGCTGGATTTCCGCAATGTTTCCTCCAAACATTTTGCTTTCTTCTTTCACATTTGTATTGTCACATTGTCTATGGTTAGGGGAGGCCGGGGACAGTAGCAACAAGGGACGGTTGCAACACGTCATTTTTCTCCAAACAGAAACGAGCTAGAGTGATGACACTCACACTGTGCATGCTCAGATGCCCCACCTTGCAAAGAAAAAGTAAGCAGATTCGAAAACTGCCCCAGGAGTTATTTGAAAAAAAAAACTGTTTTTGAGGTACCAAAGTATATATATTTTTTGCGCAGCTTTATTTTTGTTAAACTGTTGTCAATGTTTTTGTGATCCAGCTCAAACTTACAGTATATGGTTCAAACAAGTGATATGTTGACTTTTAACTAATATGGTTAGCATGTATCAAGATCAGCTTATTTAGCTAACACATGAGGTTTTATCATGGCTGACAGTAAGTACAATAAATCCATATAAAAATAGAGCACATACAGATGATATTAAGATGTTGAAATTAAGTTTACACTTAAAAGAGTATTGGGTATTCATGACAATTTTATAGTTTAAAACATAAAAGTGTTTAAGATGTATTTTCTGCAGTTGTTTTTTTCAACAATGGTTTAAAAATCCCAGTTTCTTTCAATGTAAATGTTGCATAATGTAGGTATACAGTGACAATAGGCAAAACAAAAGTAAATTGCCTCACAAATTATTCTATTTTCCTTGTCTCAAAAAGTCAACTGTATTTTATATCAATTAGTCTTTGACATCTGTATATAAGGTCTACTCATCAAGGCTATATATTCGTCATTTGATCAAAAAGAATAAATAAATAACGTAATATCATTAAAATGTACAGTTTTTTTAATTTAGCAATAATATAAATATAAAATGATAAAGACTTTTATTTATAGTGAAATATATTGTATTAATAATATGTTTCAAACAACCCCAAACAACGTTGCAACTGTCCCCGTTCCCGGGGTCATTTGCAACATCTGGCTTTTTATTTTCAAATGCAAATTGTGAAGAAAGTACATTCTTTGATCATCTACAAATGGTTTTGACTATTAACAGACAGACGTAAGTTTATTGTATTAAAATTTGGTTTGTCTAATTCAATCCTTCTCTGAGTAACAGAGTGAAATGCAAAAAGTGTTGCAACTGTCCCGGGTCTCCCCTACTCTCTACACAATCTCATTGTTCAGTAGRATATTAAAAAGTACATCAAAAGTAAATGTGTATAAAATAAATTACTTCTACATAGTGGCTATAAATATGATTCTTATGTCTTGTTCAGGTTGTGAGATGGCGCTGCTCTTCCCTATGCGCTCTCGTCGCATCTACACCGCCGTCCTCCCAGATGTCTCTCTGTCCCTGTCCTCCTTCACTGCCTGCATGTGGGTCAAGCCAACCACCGTCTCCAACAAAACTGTGCTCCTCTCCTACGGAAACCGCCGGAACCCATACGAGATCCAGCTGCTTCTTGGYCACACCTCCGCCCTTTTCACTGTTGGGGGAGAAGCCCACCTGGTGGAGGCAGGGCGTGTGGCGAACCCGGGACAGTGGATCCACCTGTGCGGAGCTTGGTCCTCTGAGCAGGGCCTGGCGACTCTGTGGGCCGACGGGCGCAAGGCGGCGTCCTCACCCGGGGTGGCTGAGGGCCACGTCTTGCCCGCCGGAGGCACGCTCCAGCTGGGGCAGGAGAGGAACGGCTGCTGCGGGAGCGGCGCCACGGGCTTCGAGGCCACGTTTGATCCCGAGCTGGCGTTTGCTGGGAAGATGACCGGGGTGAACGTGTGGGACAGGGTGCTCTCAGAGGAGGAAATATCCCAGCTGGCTTCGCAGCAAGGTCAGGGCTGTCAGCAGAAGGGGAGCACGGTAGCGTGGGGCGTGACGGAGATGGTGCCGCACGGAGGGGCTCAATTCATCTACTGATTCATCCACTTTGTCATCATATTCAACCCCTGCATAAAAATTAGTAAGATTTCAAGCTGAAATGGACACTTAAAGCGTATTTTATCAACATTGTTACTATCATGTTTTATCTGTTTGATTACGAAAACGGGAATTTTGTAAATCCTTTTATTATATTTTCGTGAAAACTAAATAGGAAAAAGCCAATGCTGTGAGAGATTGCCGTTTTTATATATATATATATATATTTTTTTTACATATCATTTTAAATTCTTTCCATTACGCAAACACGTAAATACTCTTACTTCCAGCTTAGAACATTTGCATTGTTCCAGGAAACATGTCGTGATCACCATTCACAAAAACTTACTTAAAGCAGCTTCTAAGCCACTAAACAAAGWAATGACCAAGACCAAGATAAAGAGAAGGTCCCAGACAAGAAGGAGAGACAATCTTTTGACTGTAGGATGATGTCATTCCATTTCCTTTTAAAGGTTTGTACAAAAATGGTAAGTGCAATTAGGCAGAAGATTAAAACTCATTTCTACACGTATACAAATAAAACAAAAGCATTTGCTTTCCTTAGCCATGTCATTATTACATTGTTACAACTGCAAGCAAATAAAACTCAATAACCAATCATTGTTTTCCACTACAGTCATATACATGTGATACATGCGTGATTTAAAAAATGCTGTACTTGCCTTTATTCTAAGCACAAAAACTTTAAATAATCTGTTATTGTTTTGTTATGATTTTTCTAAATATGTGAAAGATTTCAACGCATTTTTTAATGTTACAAACCTTAAACTTATTAAAGCTTTTACATGAATATGTGACATAAAGTTCAGTTTTTGTTCCATTTAATTGCAGGATTATATGTAAAACTGTTTATTCTAGATGTGTTTTAAGATTGTGAGGAAAATGTTTACATTCTCATCTTGTATTTCTAATCTTGTATAGCTAAGTTGTTTGTTTTGTACTGTATATTGTTACTGTTCATGTGAAAAGATAAAAATGAATGTATTTTGTATATAAATATTTTTGCATAGCATATATGGGTGAATGGAAAGCAAAGTATGAATAAACATTTCAAGTTTAGGTATTTATCTTGCCTGATAAAAGTCTTTTTTTCTCATTTATCAAGAGCACATTTACCTGCAGAAGCTAAGTGTTATAAAATATTTCTTTCTTTATGTATAATCTGTGTGTCTGATGTGATGTGACGGCAGGTTGGTCGCCCACCTGGGAACTTTCTAACACTTCTCCCCATCCCACAGAACAAAACCGTGCATGTTTAGTTAACTGATGACTCTAAATTGTCCCTAGGAGTGAGTGAGAGCATGAATGTCTTATTTGTCTCTATGTGAAAATTTAGCCCAGGACTATTCAACTGGCGGCTCGCAGGCCACATCCGGCCCACCAAGGAGTTCATTTTCATTCTTTTTC